TTTCTCTCTCTTCCTCTTTTCTTCCTTTTCCTCTTATATTTTTATTTAATACTCAATTTTTTTTTGGAATGTTGCAGCGCGCATTGTTGTCTTCTCTTACTTCGCCTTTTTCCTAGTTATAGTTGATACCATATTTTATAAACTATATAGGCTTTAGATTCAGCCTTTGTCTGATTTGGACATCAGAATGAACAAGTTCCTATCAGAACTTGTTGTGATAGCCGTGTGCCTGGCTCTAACGCATGCCACGTCGCTCACGAACAGGCGTCTTCAAGCACTTGAACGTGGAGCTGCGTTTTTAGAAGCTCAAAGCTTTGGCATGTTCAATCAAGACCCGAAGAAGGACAAGGAGGAAAAAGAAGAATTAAAAAAGTGCTACAAGGTAAAAAAATTCATTTTGAATGAATAATAAATTACTTTTTTATTGTCTAGCCACATCATAAATTCGAGAGTAGTTTTTAGAATGTATGAAAAGACGGACTCGCTAATTAATTATATTTTTCTAACGACTTTTTTTAGGAATGCAGGAAGACTAAAAAACAGTGTGAAAAGGTAACATATTTTAAGAACGTTGAGGAAATTTTGCAAATCAGCTCAAAAAAGTTTTTGACGACCACTCACGACGATCTTTCCTTGTTAGTGTACGTAGGGCGGATCAGGGTAGTGATCTTTGGTTAAATAGAGTATGAAATGATAAAATGAAAAACCTAAACAACGTATGGAATAGACCGGCTTCGCCCTCCTTGACAACCGTCGTCAAGGACTGAACTCAGAGGACAAGCGTTGGCGTCACTGTCTGCTTAGTTTTACGGTGTGCGATATTTCGACTACTTATTACTGGTCATCGTCCAGCACAAGAAAGTAACACCACCGTTTTTGAACACTTTCTTTCCAATAATGACTCTGCTTCTAACAGACATCCTTCTTATTCCTATTCAAGGAACCTTTTGTTCTCTAGACTCTATTCCCTAAGGAGTAGAAAACCTTATCTCATAACTACATTTATAACACCCTTGAACATAACGGGGGGGGG